ATGGGGAAAAGCATTATCTAAAAGCATTAATAACAGGTAACTAGCTAGCATTGATTACAGCATAGCAGTCAAAGTGACTGAACTCACCATGTTAAAGAATGGACAAATCTGCAAAGATGTTTGGAAAACAAAATAGAAATAGGAAATAGAAAAGAAAAAGCAACAGCAGCCTGGACAGTGGTGCTCAGTGGTTGAGTGTCAACCTACGAACCAGGAAGTCATGGTTTGAGACTAGTCCCCAGTAGGGGTTGTGCAGGAGGCAGCTGATCAGTGATTCTCTGTCATCATTCATGTTTCTATCCCTCTCTCTTTTCCCCTTCCTCTCTAAAATCAATAAAAATATATTAAAAAAACAACAAAAATCATCAACACAGCAATATGTTTTCTCCATTTCTTGATCTTTAAGAAAACTAACATTGGGATATTTTTGCTTTAAAAATATTTTATTAATGACATATTTCCCAAAGATATATTGTTTGCAAACATAGGGATGAGGGTAAAGGATTATCAGCAATGATGATGAGAAAACCTGGGACATGCTGACCCTGGAGTGACTTTAGTTGAAGGTTTACATACTTTCAAGTCTGCACAGGATCAGGAAAATCATACGTTAGGGATTAGCAGCAACCAGTCTTTTGTGTGCATTACGCTTGAGTATTATAGCGCATGCATTTAGAAGGCTAACTAGGAACATAAAATGTAACTTGTCTGTAACTGGGATCAGTTAATGTCAAAATAAAACTGATTGAAAACAGAGTTTGGAAGAGTAATGCTGGTCCAACCAAGAGCATATAGCATTAAGTATAGGAAGCCTAGAGCAAACCCACATGATTAATGGAGTCATTTAAAAAGATTTGGGGGCAGTTATCACAAATTTCAACTCTAATTCAAAGAACTGAGAGTTCTTTAATCTTTTTGGAGCTATCGGACTAGCTGGGATATACTTCAGAGAACACATAAACCGAGCAATGATTGAGAGAAATAAAGGATTCCAATCTGCAGGAATGGGAGATCATTTTAAAGGATCATTTTGTGTAAACAGAAAGATGGTGTGCCCAGAAAAATAAAAAAGTAAAGTATTAGGGGAAGGTTATCTTCTCTGAGTTCATCATCAAAGAGGATAACCCTTTTAAAAGGTAATATTAATACATTGCCATTACAGTCTGCTATTTGCTTACCCAATATTCATCCTCCTATTTTCCCTGCTATCAATCAGATTCTTGGTTTTGTTATAGCAGCGTGGGAGCCTGGACCTAATCATCTGCATGGCTACCTGGCAGTTCTGACCAATTAGATTAAGTAGAAATTGTGTGAGTTTCTGTAAAGCTACTTAAAAGTGGGGGATACTCCTTTGATGCTCATACACTCATGTGATCTATGTTCTTCCCCTCTTTCTTCCTGGAAATCAGATATAACTCATGTGATCTATGTTCTTCCCCCTCTTTCTGCCTGGAAATCAGATAGTAGGGTAGAGCTGTAGTTGCTGTCTTGTGATAATGAAAGGTCAGCAAAGCAGCAGACACCTGCCTGTAAGTCCCTTTACCACTGAATCAATGACATCTGAACTTTTTGCTGTGGAAGAAAGATAAACCCCTCCTTGGTCTACTCAATGTTATTTTGTTTTGTTTTGTTTTTGCTACCAGCATCCAAACACAATCCCTAACTGATAAAATTGTTGTCAGCAAAATGAAGAGAAACTTGAGAAACATACAAGTAGCAAGACCAAGGAGAGGATAGGCTAGCAGTCGAAGACTGACAGGGCTTTTTACTCTGAGCTAGCTCCCCCATAGTCCCACCTGAAGGCCTTCCAGCCAGGCTTGCTCATCTGCTCTTAGAACCTGCTACAGCTTTGAGTGTGACACAAAGGAATGTCTACTGCATAAGGACCAAGTCTTGGATTCTAATTTCCACTTGGTTGAGCCACTCTCTTAATCAGATTCTTGGTTTTCTTATAGCAGCGTGGGAGCCTGATCTAACCATCTGAATGATAAGAATAATGACTGCCTTGTCTATCTCACAGCATGTTTGGATGAATCAAATAAGAAGATAACATGGAAATGCTTTACAAAACTTTAAAGATGCTGTGAAATGTGAAGTATCATATTATTATTGTTTCCAATCCCTATTGAATTATTTTCAGAGCAAATACCTCTTATAGCTTAAACAGGCTCAGTCATGGTGCTGATACAAAAATCAACATTTAAAACACTGTTTTTCACACATCTGTTCGATTATTTCCATTGAAGGAGTGAGAGGTAATAATTGCTTAATATGTTTCACATTGGAAATAGTTGAAATTTTCATGCTTCAACAATGTCATACTAAAGTTTCTCAATATAATTTTCCTGTTAAATTTCAATAGGAGGTAATAGCTACCATTTGTATGGCATGTTAGATTTTTACAAAGTATGTGTATGCATATTATTTCCTTTGATTCCTATAATAACATTGATTTATATGATATTATGCCCAATTTACAGACAAGGAGCTGAAGCTCAGAAAAATTAGTAAAGTAGTTGAAAAGAGCTGCTGCTGAAGAATGATGCTTGTGTATTGTAATTATATGGGGTGGATTTACAGGCTCCATCTGAAACTCACATTAAAATCTGCTGTGGTGGGGTGTTCTCTGCTGAGATTTAGAACTTACAGTCCTAGTTTTACTCTTTGAAAAGTATCTATTATCTATGAACTTTTTCTGGGTACTTACTATGAGTTGGATTCTATTAGATACCTTACATGCATTAGGTAACCCCCTTGATGTAATATATCTATCTATCTATCTATCTATATATCTTTTAAATATATTTTATTGATTTTTTACAGAGAGGAAGGGAGAGGGATAGAGAGTTAGAAACATCGATGAGAGAGAAACATCGATCAGCTGCCTCCTGCACACTCCCCACTGGGGATGTGCCCGTAACCAAGGTACATGCCCTTGACCAGAATCGAACCCGGGACCTGTGAGTCCGCAGGCCGACGCTCTATCCACTGAGCCAAACTGGTCAGGGCAATTATATATTTTTAAGAGGAACTAGAAGCTTAGAGAGATTAAGCAATTTCCCCAGTGCCACAGAGCAGCAAGTTCTTAAGACCCAAGTTTCCCCCTCTAAAGCTCTGTTCTACTTGTTCCCCTGGAGGGACTAATAGCAGCCTCCTATTGACATATTCAAATTCATTCTAGAACTTTGGTTGCTCCAAAACTTGACCTCTTCAAATATATAGGATCACATTTCTTGTCAAGAGTCTCATCTTTGATGTTGTTGATGTTGCTCTAATGAGGTTCATCTCCTTTCTCACTCCTCAAATGGGTGGTTTCCATGTCATGTTATAACTGACATGGAAACCACCTATCTTCCCACCTAAAATACCCTCTGGTCTTTTCTTTCCCATTGATCCCATTTATCTTCCATGAACAATTCAATCCCCTTCATCCACGAACAGTTTTTCCATGACTTAGTCTCATATCTTCCCTGGATTTCTATAGAATAGGCTACTTTTGCCACACCTGGTGATTCTATTTTCCAGTTGTTTCCAGGTTTGTATTTTATTTCCACAACAATACTGCAAAGCCTGCTAGGGGAGACAGTCATATGCTCCTTTTTGTCTTGGCAGAGTTCCAAGCCAAATTCAATGGATACACACACAAACACACATGGTCAATATACTCTTGGCAAAACCAGTAAATAGTTCCTCCATTTGGGCCTAGGATCCAGTTAGGCTCCCTATTTCACAAAACTGGTACCTACTATTATAACTATAAAGAAAATAAGACATACAAGCAAACAAGACAGTATTTTTATTTTCATGAAAGCAGGCTAAATCTTGAAATACAGTATTTGTAAGCCTTTTGTTGTCAAGGACAAATTAGTCTTGGCCAGATTTTCATAATCTTATTACATTTACCTGTTTAAGATGTTCACTGAGGGCAATTCTCAAACTTCCATTCCTTCTGTTTAACATCTCACAAGTCATGAGGGTGTAGAAAATTGCGGTGCACACCAAGGGCATGCAGAAGTAGAAGCCAAACAGCCACCAGTCCTTCACATCTTGGTAGAACTGTAAATGAAGAAAAGGGAGAGAGAGGGCGGGGCTTTATAAGGTAAATTCACTGTGTAGTGCCTCTGGGTCCTTAAAAATCTTCATGTTTACAGATACATTTGTATATTCATGCTCTCTGGTTGTGGCAATGAGCTTGGGGTGGTGCTCAAAACCCAATTAAATTGGCAACTCTAGAAATTATCCTGGCTTTATAAAATAGCACATGAATAAACTGCATTAAAAAAAAGACATATTTTATAAGACACCTTAATTGTACAATGGAAGAGCCCTAATCAATAAAAAGAATTCCCTTCCAAAGCTCACAAAACGATTCTGAGAATATATATTTATCTTTATTAGTGAGCCTCAAAATTTTGCTAATGTCTGGTTTACTTTTGGCTATTACGGTTAAAGTGTACTTAATGTGAATATCTTGTTTGGAGACAGGGAAGGTTATGAATGGCTTATCTGTGTAGCTTTGGTTACCAGGAGTTAACCCTTTGCCTGGTATGCCTGCTATGTGACCTTTTAGCTAGCCAGTTTGAGCCATAAATAATTACGCCCCTTCTCACTCTTTTTAATACTTACCACCTGGAAACTATCAAGACAGAGTACCTTATCTGAAGGCATATTTAGCATGATCTTCCTATGGGCAGGAGTTGTAAATACTAGGATTATTCACTTTTATGTCTTTTTAAAGAAGAAAATTTAATACCCTATAAAAATGGAAATTGGAAAATTATATCTACATTCTTCTTCCCACTAAACTAATTATCAACTTGGGAAGAAATGCTTTTCTTTTCCTTATTCTGTTTCCTCAGATTATTTATTTACTATGGATAATGCAGTTATAATATCTCAGTTCCCACAGTAAAAACTAATCATGTTGCTCTGTGAAAAACTAGACAGTTTCTGAATATAGAAGAGGCACAGTGGGATACATTTATAGCATGTTTATTAAGATAATCTATAAATGGTTCCTGAGGAAAAAAAGTTCTGGGCAGAGGTTCCTAACTATTTTTATGCCGTAGACCTTCTTGGAAGTCTGGGGAAGACTGCAATCCTTTCTGGGAATAATATCTTTACATGCATAAAATAAAATATGTACGATTATAATGGAAACTAGTTACACAGAAACAGTATCAAAACATTAAAAATAAAATTTTGATATAGTAATATAGGTGGTTATTAACAAATTAAATGACAAATCTAATGGTGGTTCTAATAACGATCAAAATGTTGAAGCAATGATGACTGTAAATGATATTGCAAGATTATACAAATGTTATATGGTATGAAAATGTATTATTTCTATTAGTGATAAAAATGTGGTACTGTTAAATACTATTGTAGTTTGTTGCCTATATTCATAATTGAAAGAAGTGATAAATTTTAGTTATTAGTTAGTGAAAATAAACGTGTAATTTCTTTCTCATTCAAGTGAACAGACCTCTGGATTTTAACTTCAGGTTAAGTCAAACTCCCATTTTTATTCA